AGGGGAGGTGCTCTCATTATCAACACTTGCGACAGATGTATGACGTGAATTTGAACGGATAACGATAGTCTTAGTTTTTTTAAATTACCCACTGGGTCGCTTTGGTCACACACAAAATAAAGAATTCTTCCAACTTAACGATCCGCCGCGTCCGATCCGATCAATATATCGATCGCTTTCCACCACTTCCTTCAGCGGACCGCTGGCTGACTAGCGATACGCTCGCTAGCAACGAAAAGCACATTTTGGACTCACATACCCTACAACAGTCGAAATGCGAATGTGGTACAGTTCAATCTGTAGGTAATTATTTATCGACTGCTTCCGATTGTACTTCACTGAGGCAACTGCCGAGAACTAACAAACTGATGACTTCAAGAATTTAATGGCACAATAGGAATGATTCGAGCATGAAGTGAACCGCTTGATTAGTTGATGCTTTTTCACTGGCTAATTTTACATTTATTAGCACATTTACGACAGCGTGGTATGGTTGTGCGTCGCGTTTCTGCCTGTAGAAAACTTGTTTTTCTTTATTTATTCGTAGTTTCTCGTGTTTCAAACTATCCTTACACCTTACTGGATGCGAAAACAACATACTCATTACCTAGAATGAAATTTTCGAGGGATAGGGACTGTTGTTGAAAAATGATTACAAAAATGATGAGATAAACGCATACCTGCTGTCGTCAACGTGTTAAAGGCAGCGATTATGACAGATTGTAGTTGTGTTAGCAGTGGAAATGGGGGTACTACAGGGAGAGAAATCCATCGAAGATACATAGAATAGGACCTTGCTTCATCCGTTGATTTTCGAACATGGACTAGCCAGTAACCAAGGAAGAGGTCGTTTGGACGTGTTGCTCGATAGCCACTATTGTGCTAGCAGAATCCTTCTTTGATTGATTACTCATCACAAAAATAAGTTAAAATGTACGGCCGCGTAAGGGAAATGTTTTCAAAATGATCAAAGCTGACCGATGCTGCCACTGGCAGTACAAAAGTGGGTCGAGCATTTTTGATGCGTCCCGGTTCTCAAGCCTGAATCCTCCCTGCACCGCAGGAAGCTCGCTTTTCACCGCGAAAACGCCACACATTGCTCCCTTTGCTACATGGCTACTGCTTCCAGTGACACGTATACTACTCCCCGGTGCACACCCACTTGGTCGTAATCACTCCCTTTCGAAGGCAGTTGGTTTGATAAACTGCATGTTGAGAAAGGGCACATGTGTTTACCAGAAAAGGAAGTTGGGAACCCAAAGAAGGGAGAAGTGGCACATTTGAGGGCGAAGGGCGAACCCATAGTGGTCGGTCAATACTAAATAAACTTGTCCCTTCGAGCGCCTCATCTATCAATCCACACACCGTTCCATGCTCATGATCTTCGCCTTAGGACTCTAGCCGTTTTTTAGGGAGCCAGCGATATGGAAACCATGTGAAAAACTAGGATCCTCTTGCAGGTTTTGGGGTCGTTCCTCTTGGTTTCTTTTTCAATGCTTCAACTGCTAGAACTCTGTTTGCTTTCAAGCGGGAGACCAATCTTTATAGCATCCTTACATAAAAGTTCGACTAGAA